TCGGACAACACCTGAGTAGTCTAAGGATGCTATCACACATACGTTTGTTTCGAAAGAACAACTATTTGGAACAATTTTTCTGCTTTGTCACAACAGCCAATGACCACAGATCGCTTTGGGGTTAACACAGGGGAAATTGGTTCTCCGTTACAAACAACTTTTGTCCATTCTTACAACTTTAAAATTGTTATTAAATTGTTATTGTCCAACTTTAAAATTGTTATTAAAAATTAACTAAATTAATTGCACATTAAAAATTAACTAAATTAATTCGAATTCGAAATTACTAAGCCGTTTGAAAAGAAGTAGGGTCTCTGACCCAGCACTCTGGTGCTACACCATTTCTCTAGTACGTACATTACAAAAAAGATAATGGCTGATTGGTTGAAAACGAAAAACTTGCAATTTTTTTCGAAAGGAAGGCAAAAATCGTGCGTCTTTTTTCAATAGTAAACCAGGCAGAAAAATTTTCCGAAACAGTTGTTCGTGTGAAACAAATGCGTGTGTGATATGGGCCTTAGAAAGCCGTTCGGGTGTCCGGCCCTGCTGTCACCTGTACTAAACATAATAAAACATGTTTTGCCCCACTGTTTGTGTCCTTTATTGCGTTTTGTGTCGTCTCTACCAAACCAGGAAAGCTATGTGATTTCCCATCGTCTAAGTGTACTACTCTATCTCTGCTGAAAGTTTGTCACAGCTATACTGATACACCCTGTATATACAAGTCTATGTATCAAGAAAAAAATAATTTTATAAATTCGATTGAATGTAATTGTAACAGCCTCACTAGCGATATGTGGAATTTAGATAAAATTTCAACTGTTATCAATAGAAATTAGTAAAAATTCCCAATTATAAAATGAATGAAGAGCAAAATGAGATTTCGTTTGACAAACCGACAGAAAACAACTTCTAACGATTGGTACTGAGACAGCAACTTAAAGGTGGTTATACAAGACATTACTGCTTCATAATAAATGGAATTTGATGTGAAATATATAAATCAATAAAATAGATATGAAGAATTAGATTACTTTGAATATAGTATATCATTCTAAGACTATCAGCCTAGGGGTAGAGTTTGGGTTACTATAAAAAAAGAAAACCAGTTCTTCATTATAAACACAGAGACTACCAACAAAGAACGCTCATTTAACTTCTTTCGGTTTGGTTTATGTGATTACGGCAACGTCTAGAGGGCCATCTGCCTAAGGCAAAGGATGCCTTCGTGGAGGGCTTTCAAACAAAAACTGGCTCGTACACACGTTACACATGGGGAAAACCACGAAAACCCATTCACGGGGCTCGAATCTCGGACCAAACTACCAGTGTTTAGCGACTTTACCGCTCGGCCGCTGGAGGCCCTTCTTTACTTCGGTGCTGATAGCTTATTGAGTAAAGACGTATAGTCTTCATTTTTTTTCCCGCAGAAGGTACACAAAAATTCTTTTGGTGACAAAATTGGTAGAAAAATTAGTTGAACAAATGTTCGTCTGAAACAAACAATAGTAGTTTGTCCGATAGTATTCTTAGAACAGGCCTTTCTATTGAGCTTCTCAATACTAATGATGACAAGCTTCAAATGCATGTAGTTCCAGGATGTATAACATACATATATATCGTCTCATGACTTAAATAAACTGATAAGAACTTGCCCAGTGGGTCAGCTGTGCCTCAACAAGAATGATGGTACTGTCCCGTGATAATCGTCTAAAATGGTTAGTTCCTTTTTTTGGATTACAACTCTGTACAAATTCTTTCATTTCATACTAGAAGTTTTTTTGCCTATCTCTGTGGTCTACGAAGTTAATTTTTCAACGTTTCACTACTAAAAAGGCTACAAAATTACGTTTAGTAGGCTGTGCGTGGTCATTTTTTGACTTATACATTAAGACGCTCCATTCAAAAATCCTAGGGCAGGTTTCATTCTCGTAGTGATAGCCCACATATGCTTTGTCTTAATCAATTAAACAAATAAACAAACTTCATGACTGCATAACTCTGAATAGCATATCTCAGCGCTATGGATCTCATTACGAAACAAATAAAAACAATAGCATGCAGCAGAGCTATAAATCTCATTATCGAATATTTCTGGGGAAATACAGTGTCTCAAAAAAGTGATGGGACACTTGTGCTTTACAAAAGGAAACTGCAATAAAATAAATTTAAAAAACATGTAAAATTTTTTGTGGGTGTGTTTCATACTTAAATTTAGTAACAATTATTACATAACATACATTTTCAAAATATTAATTTAATAAAAATACAATTGTTTAGAACGGAGCAGAAAAAATGGCTCACTTAAGTGATAAGACACTTACTTTCCATGAAATATTTATCCAAAAATTTACTTTTTAAAAGGTTTTATATTTTGTTGGATTTCCTTTCACTTTTAAAAACATGATTTAATCTTCTGGGGATGGATTCGACTAATTTTTTTTGCGATTTCTGGAGTGATTTTCCCATTCTTATGAAGCACCGATTTAATTGGTGTGTTTGAATGGTGTTGTTTGCGACTTCTTGATTCCCAATTCTTGCAAAATATTCTCTATGGGATTTAATTGTGGAGATTGTGGGGGTGTTTTTTTATTTCAGGACAGTTATACAGCAGCCAGTCTACGTTCAAAGCACTGTGTTTGGGGTCATTGTCCTGGTAGAATTTAAAATCGGTATGAAGGTTTCAATTTTCGTGCTGAAGATTTCAGATTTGATTTAAAAATGTCAATATACTTGTACTGATCCATTATACTGTCAATAAAAACAAGATTACCAACTCCAGCGGACGACATACACCCACATACCATAAACTCCTCCTCCCCCATGTTTTTACTGTTGGCACCAAGTTCTGTTTGCGAAATTCTTCCCTGGGTTTTCTCCACACCAAGATTCTACCGTCAGAACCAAATATATTAAATTTACTCTCATCAGCAAATATAACTTCATTCCAGTAATCAGAATTCTTATTTATGTGGATTTTGCGAAAGCCAGTCTGAGTTCTATTCTTTCATTACGAAGAATTTTTTTCTGCTGCTCTACCGTGATATCCAGTAAATCGAATTACTCTTCTAATAGTCTCAGAATTAACAATTACTCCATATAATGCTTGTAAATCAGCAGCAACTTTAGGAGCACTCATTCTAGGATTTTTTTTTTTTTTTTTTATATTTCGAACGATAATTCGCTTTATTCCATTGGATAGTTCTGATGGTCGGCCAGGTCTTCTTTTATCCTGAATCATATGATTCTTTTTATATCGTTTAATGATATTGAAAACTGTTGAATGACTGAAGTTAACTGTTTCAATAGTTTCTCTAATAGATTTTCCACGTTCAACATGCAAATTAATAATAATTTTCGAATTCCAGGCAAAGTTTCTTTTTGTTTAGCATTCATGGCTGCACAGAGCTAAAAAACACAAAAATTCCAAAACAAACTGGAGAGAAATACTGGCAGACGATTTTATAAATTATTGGCAATTGCTTTTGAGTAAAAATAAATACCCCAAAAGATATTTTTATTGCTTACTTCAGACGTTTTTGTTGCATAGTACGTAGTGTCCCATCACTTAAGTGAGCCATTTTCTGCTCCGTTCTAAACAATTGTATTTTTATTAAATTAATATTTTAATATTTTGAGAAAATGTATGTTATGTAATAATTGTTACTAAAATTTAAGTATGAAACACACCCACAAAAAATTTTACCATGTTTTTTAAATTTATTTTATTGCAGTTTCCTTTTGTAAAGCACAAGTGTCCCATCACTTTTTTGAGACACTGTATTTTTACTTAAAGCTCAAAAAAAAAAAAAAAAAAAAAAGAAGGAAAAAAAGAGTGAGAGAGAGGGACAGATTTATATCTTCCGTTCTACTGGGCCAATTGACGAAATTTAACTTTTTGACGAAATTTTTTCATGTCTCGAAAACGCGACTTAGGATATATATTATATTTGTATGTACAGTTGTTCTAACATAAGTATTTTGACAGAGAATCGGACTTTTTCTGAAATGACGTGGCGATTTTGTTTTTCCATATTTCGATTCAAATTATGTCTAAATATTAAATTTTGTAAAATTTGGTGAAAAACTGACCGAGAAATTTAAAAATTCATTTTGGGGCATCTTATTGAATTTGCCCCAAGAATAATTCACTTGACGAAATTTTGATTTATAGCAGAATATTTTTCTTTCCCTTTTTACTATAAAATCTCAATTTCATTTCTTTATAATCTCTTAGCTATGCTAATCCACATATTATGTACCTTTTCTAGTTAAATGGACGTGCTTCTCTGAATATGCGGCCATAAAAATTTTAAAAACAATGGAAAATTATAACGCTTGCATACTAGGAAAAAGAGCAGGTTTTTCTGTTACTTTCATTGTGATGTACTGATGTACCACACATTTTGATATATAATACTAATAACAAATTAATATATAACATTAAATATAACCAAAATATTACTTTTTTCGGTCTTCATAATTTTAATTCTTTTTGTATAGTGCATACAAAGTAACAAGTAAAACTATATGTTCTATGCAATTTTTGTTACATAGATTGAATTTTAGCAGGAAATTAAATAACTCTCATACAGATATCTAGTCTTCCATTTTGAAATTCGCAAAAAACTATAAAATTTCTCTTGGCATTAAAATCCAGCATAACATAATTTGATTTGCTACTTTACTACAAATGCAATGAAGGTTAAATAACAGCTGTTGATCGGTGATGACTACTCTACTAATATGCAATATTAAATTATTTTATTTAACAATGTTATACTCATATACATAATTATTAACTTTTAATACAATATTGTATTTTATTTTGATTTAACATGGATTTAGAAACCACAATCATTTACCACTTTTGCCATCTTAATTACTTTTAGAAATTGCACAAACCAACGGATGATGATCATAAAATTAATTTTATCAGAAAAATAATAAATATTTATCATATCCCTTGTTCCCAGCCACGAAGAGGAATAAATATTTACCTCGCTCGCTTTCGATAAGGTGCTCTTCCTCTTGTGTAGTAGCATCCATTTCCGACAGATGGCTCTAAATTCTCCCACGTGTGACACTCAAAATTCTGTTCCGAGCAGAGGAATATATATTTTTCAGCATGTTACATTCTGATTAATCACTACAAAAAAACTTTGAATTATACTGCGGATTTACAGTGCAAACAGTTAGTAAGCACTACAGCTAACATAACGTGCGTGGTGAAAATTTTCCTAACCTTTCTCTAGCAGTTTGGCTCTGGGATTTTACGTCACGAATATGACGTCATTGGTCGATACACAAAGTGCGCAAAACCAAGACGCGACAGAGCTCCAAATTAAAATCGGCGCGGAAAAGATTTTGCGTTTGATTGAAGCTGAAGGAGACTTTATATGCATATTTTCGAAGGGAATAGAATTTTTTTTCCTTCCCGCTAGGACCATTACATACATAAACAAATAAGGTGCGGAGAAAAATATTAACATTTTCAATTTATGGCGGGACAAAGTTATGAGTAATTGATTGTAATTTAAAATGTTATTTTAATCTTTTAAAAAATTTAGCAAATAATATATATGCATATAACGTAGAATACATTTCATTACTTGATAAACTTAATATTAAATGTACTTCTAATAAGATTACCTCATTGTAAAAAAAAATATTTTAAAATAATGTTTCAGAACATTAAAGCTAGTTTTATTGTGTCTAATAATTCATGCTTTCTAATAACTGAAGTTACAACCAATTTTATAACTCGGCAATTATACTTAAAATATCGAAAGAAATATAAAAATACTAATAAAGCTCAATGTTTTAAATTTACGATTTATTGCTTTAGCATCTGGCAACAAATGATTGGCGTAATTACTTCCTTGAGAAAAGTCTCATTAAAGTAAAAAATGACTGCATAGTGTAGACAAATTATTTATTAAATTACTGATAAATTAGAAAACTATTACATTATTGCCATCAGTAACAACACAGAAAACATTAAACTAAAAACTGCAATGAGATTTTTACATGATATGGACTACTTTACTTAAGCGGATTTCTGTTGAATTTTAAATATAATTTTGTATGCACGCAATGCACTTTTACACTTTAGATCAAGCTGCTAAGAGCTATTACTACTTCTACGGAGAAATTTAGGAATAACGTTGGAGCGAAGATAAAGGGATGAATTTTAAACGGAAATAAAAAGCTGAATTATTTGGATATGGCAAAACACACAAAAGACTCTTTCGTATTCACGTTACACATGGCGTAAATTGCGAAAAACACCCATTCACCTAGCCCATTCTGTCTAGGCTAAACCGCAATTCGAACTACTACCATTCAGCGGTCTTAACCACTCTTTCAGTAGCTGGGCTGAGAATCAACAATAAACTACTAAAAATTATAAGTACGCCCGTCACGCTTAGAAAGATAAGAAGGAAAGAAGAGAGAACAGAAAATTGGTATTATTCAAATATGAAAGCCATGAAGGTTTAAAATATGAAAGCCATGAAGGTTTAAAATATGGAAAGCTATGAATATGAAAATTAAACGCAGTAGTTTATTATACTGTAGAACTCCAATTATCCGAATCAACTGGGACCGGACCCCATTAGGATAATAAAAAATTCGGATAATTGGATTTATTCCTAAAAAGGGTCAACGTATACTATAATTAATTACTATATGTACTGTATGTTGAAAATGGGAGAAAAAAGCTATTTTTAAAGAAAAAGTGGTTTTAATTGACTAAAATGAAAAAGCAACACTTTTATGTACATGTTATATGGCGTACTGTAGAGTACTTACAAGTATTGAAAGCCATTACTTGCTAACATCTCGGTCAAAGAAAGCTGTTTGACTGCCTTCATTCGTTTTCGGGCATCCAAGTTGCGCATCCGCTTTACAATGAGAAGTTGCATGTGGCCACACTCATAATTTTTTTAGTGTTAATTTATTTTCTTAAGTTCTGAAAGAGATTCGAATAGTTGAAGTTCGGATAATTGGAGTTGCACAGTAGTTTAAACAGATTGTGTTTGAACTAACAATCTGAGCATTAATTTCAAGTATCTGTGCATAAAATACTGAAAAATTTTTTGAAAAAAAAAAAAAAAAAAAAAATTCTGTTCATTTTGATATAGTTACGTAAATTTTGAACTGTACGACAGAATTTCAGTCATATTCATTGCAAAGTTAAGCAACCAAATCAAGGAAATTAAAATTAGTGTATTTAGTGGAATTTAGTATAGGGTGATTGAGTAAGCATATTTAATGCGTATGTTTAATTTTAGTTTCTTTTAAACGTGTGTAGCCCACCAGCGGCGGAGCGGTAATGTCGCTGAACACTGGTAGTTCGGTCTGAGATTCGAATCCCGCGAACAGGCTGGTTGCATAGGCGTTTTCGTGGTTTTCCCCATGTGTAACGTGTATACGAGCCAGTTTCCCTAAGAAAGTCCTCCACGAAGGCATCCATCCTCTTAGGCAGATAGCCCTCGAGGCTTTACCATAATCACACACACACACACATTAAACGCGTGTAATCACTTGATTTGATGTTAAAATACAGCTAAATACTTATGCAATTTTTTTTCGTTTTTGCAGCTTGAAAAAAGTTTGCTAGAATTTTATTTTATTTTTATGATTTAAAATTAACTTTTAATTAAAAAATTTATACTTAATCATTATTCCACAATTTTTTAAGGCGGATATCATAAGAATTGAAATAAAAATCACAATCAATAGAGGCTTATAAAAATTCTATTCAACATAAAAATACTAAAAAATCAACTTCAATTCATTCAACAAATTTAAGCTTGCTACAGTTTCTGAGAGAATATCAAAATATTTTTTAATTTGCGTCATACTTAACATCAGGAAATTTTTTTATTTTATACAAAGTTTCTACAATTCTAATTTGCAATTCTAAACAGATGGCATCTTTTTTTTTTTTTTTTTTTTTTTTTTTTTTTCCTTTATGAACGACGAAATAAAAGGAATTTTATAGTCTCGTGAAGTAAACTATACTCCTGGTGTTAAAACAGGTTATAGGATTTCAAATTTATTCGTTAAGTATGCGAATTATTTCTCATTATAGATAAAGAATAATTTTATCGTAGCGAGAGAAAAAAATTCGTGGGGTGGAGAGTCACCGAAAACTCCTGAAATTTTCCTGACGTGTGATTCGCATTAGCAATTTCATGAAAACTTCGTAATCGAGGATTTACATTAACATTTTGGAAGAAAGATTCGCGCCAGAAACGAAACAATAACACAAAAAATAGTATGTAACTCAATCAGATTCGGAAATGTCTTCAACAGCGTTATTTTTATATCAAGATTATTATTTAACTGAGTAGTGTTTTTATGTATTATACTATGCATACATAAGGATTTTCTTCATTAAATAGCAAGTGTTTTAAAAAGGTTGTGTGGTGTATTTAATTATGGCAAAGCACACTAGGGCTATCTGCCTAAGGGGAGGGATGCCTTCGTGGAGGATTTTCTAAGGGAAACTGGCTCGTACACACGTTACGCATGGGGAAAACCACGAAAACACCCATGCAGCCAGCCCGTTAGCGGGATTCGAACCTCGGACCGAACTACCAGTGTTCAGCGACTTTACTGCTCGGCCGCTGGTGGGCCCGATCCTTTTTAAAATGCCTTTTCTCTCGCCCTAGTGTGCTTTGCCGTAATTAAATACACCACACCACCTAAAAAGGATCGTCGTCGAAATTAACAGGCAACGAAGGGATAGCTATACATCAATAGTTATATCTTCAGGAAACGAACTAATAATTATAATAGAAATTAAAAAATAAACGGATAAACTTGAAATTAGCGGATTTCTTCCATATTCGCGAAAAATCTGACACTCGCAAAATCCTCTAAAATTCGCTAAAGTCTGTGCTGCTGTAAAATTACCGTCCTAATTCACAGTTTAAAAATTACCTTGTTCTGCTAAAATTTCAGAATAAATTGGTTTGCTTTTGTAAAATAGACTATGCAAAGCAAGCAACGAATAGCCGCCTCAAAGTAGAATGTCTTCGTGAAGGGCTTTCTGCGGGAAACCGTCAGTATTCATGTTGAACTGATTTGAGTGAAAGAGAGTAGCAATTACTATTAACAGCCAAGCAGACTTGAAAATAACAAAAATAAAAGCTACGAGAATTTAAAAAAAAATTTTTTTAATATTTTAGATTTGGCCACAAGCGCACGGAATCTGTTGTCCGAATTTCTGTGAAAGACGCGACTATGAACAGTCAGATAGCAATCCTAAATTTATGTTTTTAAAAAATTGGTCTGCACATTTTCAGTTTTGCCAGATTAAAGAACTGATTTTATTTCGCATGTTAAATTTTGAAAGCTTTAATATTAATCAATCAGCGCAAAATTATTTACAGTTTGTAGCAAATAAATAAACAGGCAGATGTATAGATTTATGAAAATAAATTAAAGACATCGATTTAACTTACTTTAGGATGAAGACGTCTGAGGTTACAATGAAGAGGCACTTTGCATCATTCTAAATGTAGCAGTACATTCACATTACGAAGTTAGAATGCCTTTTCCAACAAGTATGTCAATTAAAAACATGACGGAAACACTTTCTCATTCGTTTAGTAGGCAGACGATCATCTACAGCTCTATTTCTAAACTATAGCACTTCTGAATTTTTAAAGAACTGAACTCACAGGCAGCAGTAAAAATATCTAGGCAATTCTTAAGAATTTAATGCAGTTTTGTTTTTAGTGTTAATAATAAATGACTGATTTTGGATAAAAGAAAGAAGCGGAGGAGTATTTAGAATTTATTTATCTTACACTAATTCAGAGATCACAAGAGCCCGTCTTTGATACATCTTAATTCTTATCAAAAGTTATACAATTCCAGTAGGAACCCATCAGTATTTCAAATAAGATGAATTTCGAAGTCTCTTAGCTATGAAATAAAACGGAATATCAGAATGAAATTCTATTGTTCAAGTTGACTTGATTTTGACACTAGCTGCTGAATTCAGGAACAGTCGATTTCCTATTAATTTACTTTCAATAGGACCTCTTAATTCTCCCGTATTATATTTTTTTCTAGAGTTTCATTTTAAATATAAAATCATAATCACGACTAAAAATTAAACATTTTATACCTTTTCTTTTTCTTTTCCAATACATTTTTTTAAATCAGACATTTGGCTTTGTCTCGCACATCTTTGGCTCGTGATGTGTATTATTTTTTAGATAATATATAT